TTTGGGCGGCTGCGCTGAGTACCCTCTCGGTCTGCTTCTCTCCTCTACTCCCCCCTCCCCTTATATACATTTTGTAGGAGTACAGCCTAACTTGTTAGGGGGACCGAGATTTCAGAAGAAAAAAAAAAACACACACAATAACAATGATCCGGAGACGATTGCCAACAGAGACGTGTCGACAAATACCATGTGTAAACTCTTGATATGTTCACCGTCATCATCCATTGTGTCGTGGTGAGAGAGTAATACCACCATATACGGCAGCTTGCTTTGACATGTCTATCGTGAAGAGGTGCAAAACTATTATAAGTCTGTGTATAAAATTACAAGAAAAGAGAAAAAAAAAAGACAAAGAGAAGAGAGAGATGGAGAGATAGAGAGAGGGAAAAAAGAGACGCCATCCAACACCCTTTTCCCCTCGCAACCAAGGGAAGGGGGACCATTTTCCCTACTTTCCTTCTTTTTCTGTCGGCAGATATTTTTCCTTATACGTCTGAGACCCTTCTTCTACAGCCCCCGCCCCTACCTTCGCAGCACACACCTTTACAGCCCCCTCAGAACATTACCCTCCCACTGATCGAGGGGTATGTACCTCTCCCTGAGGGCCTCGGCCACCGTCTTGGGCTTCGCAGCATCGGCCGGCTTCTCGAATCGCTGACGGAGAGCGATCTGGACGGGCGTGGGGCCCTCGGGCGTGGCATTGTCGCCGTCGCCGTCGCCGACAACGGCAGCCTTGGCCCTGCCGATCAGGTCCTTTCCGGCCTCGACGACGGCGGTCTCGGCCCTGTTGGCCCGCAGCCTGGCCTCGAGGAGCTTGTTCTCGGCAGCCTGCTCGACGCTGCGGGCCTGCCTCTTGGCCTCGACGTAGGCGGACCGGGCCGTCTCTTCGGCGTCCCTGCCCAGTCTCCTGGCGGCCTTGCCGGCCCGCTCCAGCTCCGGGATACCCGCGGGCTGGGCGGGGGCCTGGCCGGAGGCCCTGGACCAGAGCGTCTCGATCGTGGACTCGATGCCGGACCGGACGTCGTCCCAGTCCGTCGTCTGCGCCCACCGCACCGCCCTCTCCACCTCGTGATTCCACCGGTCCTTGGCCACCTCGATCGTCGTCGCGCGCTGCGCTGCGGCAAACTCGGATCGCGTCGGCGGGAGCGCCGCGGGGAGGGGGTCGATGATGCTCTGCAGCTGCAGGGCCTGTGCGCGGAGGAGGGCGCCCTGACGTTCGCGGTTGCGCTGGTGCGCCAGAACGGACAGGTACGTGACCGACAGCGTGAGGGCTACTCCGCCAGTCTATACAATCATTCCTCCATCGTTAGCCTTTTCTCCCCCCCCACCTTCCAATCATGGATGGGAACGTAGTGTGAGCCGTACAAAACCGCTGGTGAAGCCCATGGTGGTTGTCGTGTTGTTCGCCTGAGGCAAATTCCAAACACGCTCGCGCAAAATGCCGCTCTGGGGATTTCGTAGTCGGGGAGAGAGGAGACGCAGAGAGAGGAAAAAGAAGGATCGATCGGTATAGAGAGGATGTCGACCTCGTTGGTGGGTTTGTCGTCGTAAAAAAAAAGAAAGAAAAAAAAAAACTCCTAGACCGGTGAGGAGGGATGTCGACTTCGAAAGTTTAGATTGACGTAGAGGAGAGTCCAGCCGAGTAAAGGGCCTTCGGACAAATCTTGGCTCAGCTCCTCCGACGCACAGTGCCGCTTTTAACCCGGCTGCACCACTAGAAATCACGATCTCAAGCACATTGTGTGTCTATCGACATGACGAAAAAGTTTGCGAGATATACAGAACCGACCGAGTCGAATTCAAATCCCTCCCAACACCTCCGACCTCGCACTGCTGCTCCTTGCACGACCCTCCCTACAGAGTCGCCCTTGGAACGTGCCCTTCAGTAAGATGATAGACCTCGAGGCAGCGACGACACACTAAACTCCATTAGGGGGGGGGGGTAGAAAACAGACCCACACCTCTTCCCCGTCACCGTCGTCGTCCCCCAAACGCCAAAATCTCGTCCATCACGAACAGAAGTCATTGATACTCTTCTTCCCCCTCCCCAACAGACTTTCCTGACACGCAACAATAACAACACCAGGGGACACAACAGCAACAACAACAACACCGACAGGGACACCGCAACAGCGATAGCAGCAAGGACGACAGCAGACACAATGGCCGGTGGACTCGTCAAGTACAGGCACCTGAGCCGCAAGTCGTCTGCCCGTCAGGCCCTCTTGCGCGGTCTGGTCACCCAGCTCGTCCACCACGAGCACATCATGACCACCCACGCCAAGGCCAAGGAGGCCCAGCGTCTGGCCGAGAAGCTCATCACCCTGGCCAAGAGGAACAATGAGACGAGCAGGAGATCCGTCCAGGGCATCCTCTACGTAAGTCTGATCTCGCCTCGGTTCCTCCCCCCCCCCGGTCACGGACTCGCTTCTGCTGTCCACCAAGCGGATGGGGGGACGGCGACTCTCGGACTGTGCGCCCAGTGCTGACCGGGACTCTCCTACTCACCCACAGGACCCGCACCAGTACATGACCAAGGTCTTCGATAGCCTGAGGGAGCGGTACGCCGACCGGCAGGGAGGATACACGCGCGTCGTCCGCACCGAACCCCGTAGCAAGCTCGATCAGGCCGAGACGTCGATACTCGAGTTCGTCGACGGCCCCAAGGACTCGCGCTTCATGATGACGGCCAAGACCGTCGCCAGGGACCGCCTCCTCGGCCGCGCCACCACCCCCGTCACCGCCGTCAACGTCAAGAAGGTGACGCTGTTCCGCGGAGAGGCCGCCTTCGAGGACATGGTGCAGCGCTTCATGACCCTCAGCACCGAGGAGCCCGAGCCGTCATCCTCCTCTGCCGCAGCTGGCCGCGGAAGGAAGCACTGGGAGCCTAGGTTGGCTAATCTCAAGATGCCCAATGATTTCTCCACCACAGAGGCCAAGACTTTGGAGAAATGAGAGAGGTTTGATGACCGAAAGGGAGAGAAACCACAAGTGTATCAATATTGGGTGGCGTCACCTTTTTTTTTTCTTCTTTTCTTTTCATTTCATTTCATTTTTTTTTCCATCCCCCCCCCTTTTTTTTTTCGGTTGCTGTACGGAATAGATTAGGCAGAGGAAGAGAGAGAGAAAAAAATGTACATGTATATATATATATATAAAGCTACTACTTTTTGGGTTGTTTCTTGTTTCTTTTTTTTTTCCTTGTGCGAAAAAATCCAACCTCTACAGCTATGCAACCTCCATCCCTCCGGAGCTCCGATGGATCTCCGGTTCTCAGATAAAGTCAAACGTGTCTCCGCGGTCCTGCAGCATCTTGCCCACGCGCTTGGAGCCGACAATCCTCTCCAGCTTGAGGACGTCGTACTTGGAGAACATGACGCGGACGGTGCCTTTCCCGGGCTCGATCCGCATGTCCTCCTCGCTCTTGGCCAGGTACCCACCGGCGACCTCGCCGTAGAAGAGGGGGTTGTCGGGGAGGCCGTAGAAGATCACCCTCCTGACGCCGCGGAGCTGGTAGCGGCGGAAGTGGTGAGCCCTCTCGGTGTAGAGCAGCAGGCGGTGGCGTCCGTTGAGGAAGTGGGAGCGGGCGCGCGACGCCTCGGGCACGTCGGCGTACTCCGAGATGGCGCCGAAGCTGAGGGTCATGACGTCGGCCGAGTTGGCCAGGTAGTTGCGGACGCGGACGAAGTCGAGGTAGGAGGGGATGAAGACGAGCGTGCCCTCGGCCTCCTTGGCGCGCTTGAGGAGCGAGGGGACGACGGCGGTGACGAAGTAGTCGAAGCGGGCGTCCGGGTCGCGGTCGGGCGACCCGACCTGGAAGCGGGAAAAAGTCTGGCGAGCCTTGAAGCCGGGGCCGCCCAGCCTCTGCAGCACGCCGGGCGCCTCGAGCTGCAGCCTCGCCTTGCCCTCCCAGTTCTGGCAGTGCAGCCTGAAGAGCTCCGACAGCTCGGGCGTGTTGAAGGCCGACATCACCACCGTCTGGCGGAAGTGCCGCCCCCACTCCTCGGCGTACCAGCCGCGCACCCGGCTCCAGTCCACGTCGTGCGAGTAGTCGACCGGTCGGAGGTTGAGGTGCTCGAAGATGAACTCGACGTGCTCCCAGTTCTGCATCAGCAGCGCGTCTGCCTGGTCCACCACCACCATCTCGATGGAGCTGAGGAAGTCGTAGTCGACCTTCTGCTTCTTGCCCTTCTTGTCCGCCCGGTCCGTCGCCGACGGGTCCTCCGACCCGATCGCCATGCGCAGCCCCAGCGGGCTCGCCAGCAGCATGTCGGAGCTGTAGAACTGCGAGAAGTACTTGATCGTCTTGCGCGTGAACTTGATGCCGATCCGGAACATGTCGTCGTCGTTGCCCTCGAACAGGTCCCGGAAGTCCACCGGCCGCTCCTGCCCAAACTTGTTGTCCTTGTCAATGTACGACTCGTCGAACCGCTTGCGATTCTCCTGCTGCTCCGGCTCGCACAGGTCACGGATGATGTTGACCATGCGCGCGCACGAGTTGCGCGTCGGCAGCAGGAAGAGCACCTTGGGCCGCGTGAAGCCCTGGTCCTGGATCCCCAGCTCCGCATTGTCCCCTGCCTGCGCCACCTTGTGGTTGTTCTTGATGACTTGGTCGCGCGTCCTGTAAGGTGATGGGTGGTAGTGCCGTTAGCAGTCAAAGACTCGAGCGGAGAAGAGGGGGGGGGGGGGGGGGGTTAGGAGGTGAGACTACTACTCACTTGAGGACGTGGTTCAGCGCGTGCAGGCAGGTGAGCTGCTTCAGGGCCTGCGAATCCTTGACCGTCCGGTCGCAGTACAGCAGGTCACGGTATCCGAACAGCATCGGCCCCACCTTCTTCTCGATGTCGCCAAGCTTGCCCATCTTCCTCTCTGCCGTCTCCCGCAGCTTCTTCTTGAGCTTGAAGCCGTCTAGACCGGAAACCTCCGTCGGCAGCGCGGCAGAGGTATCGTCAGAGCCGGGGACCATCGACGTCACACGCCACGGCGCCACGAGACTTCTCTTGGTGGTCCAGTCTCCCTTCTTCGCCGCCTGTACGCGCTTGGTGCTGAGCTTCTCGTCGGGGCGGGCGAAGTGGGTGATGAAGGGATCCGTAGACCCTTCCTCTTCATCGTCGGATGAGTCCTCCACCAGCGCCGGCTCTTCATCGTCGGCCGCCTCCTCATCAGCCTCATCGGCCCTGTCGACGTCCGCATTGTCCTGGTCCTCTTGCCCGTCCGCCTCCGACGCTGAGTCAGGTTCTGTGCTCGTGGTGATGGCCTTGCCGTGATCCAGCTTGCGCCTCTTGCTTCTGCGAGAAGAAGCCTCGTCCTTTTCGTCATTGAATCCCTGGAGCAGAGCCATATAGGGACGCACAGGGGCAGCCTCCTCATCCTCATCATCCGAGACCTCGCCGCCAGAGACTTCATCTTCCATGTCATCAGACTCACTCGTTCTGCCATGCAATGTCAGCCAGAGGCACATATGTAAGAGCCTTCTCTCCTCCGATACTTACTCATCTTTCTCTTCTAGACGAGCTCCGTCAAAACGCCTATCGGGTCCCCAACGGCTAGTCGGCCTGCCTCCTCTGCCTCGCCCACCACGTCCTCCACGCCCTCCACGCCCGCGAGAGCCACGGCCGCGGAAACCGCTACCTCTTCCACGAGGAGGCATCACTGAATGATGTGAGATCGACGCAGTGTATCCTTTTTCTTACTTCCGAATTTCGAAGGGGGGATGAAGAAGAATAGAGCAATTTTGTAGAGATTTCTCTTCAGACAAGAAGAAGAAAGGACAGAAACACGCTTGATGTGGTATAAAAGATTCAACTTGTATGAGAGCTCAGTACTGCCGTTACTAACCCGCTAAAAAAAAAAAAACCAAGGTACCGCATCAGCCACAATCAGATGCCACAACGAGAAATCCAGAAATCCAGACCGCGCCACAATGATATCCTTATCTCTTATCGTAGCGCGCACAACCCCATGCCCGTTGTGTCCCTGGCGCTGCACACACGAAATTTGTAAAGGAACAATCCCTTGCCCCCCCCACTATTGAGAGAGAGACAGAGAGAGAGAGAGAGAGCAAGAGTCAAAAGGAAGACGACGGCAAGTTTTGGGTCCCACCTCCACCCTCGCATCTTCGACAATACAACCTCCGTCGACGACGATCTTTTATTTCCCCTCCTCCACGATTCATCCACGAGGAAATAAAAAATCTCTCTGTTGCCCAGCATGGCCGCCACTACTGAGAGGTTCATGCATCTCTCGCGCCCTCTGGCGCCTTCGCAAGCCGGACTGCAGACCAGCCTTGCCCCGCTCGCCGTCAACATCCAGCCCCAGGTACGATTTTTTCCCACAGCCGTCGCATATGTCTATCGGGAATAGACGAAGAGGGGAAGAAGAAAGGAATAAGGGATACGGGAGAAAAGGACGAAGAGGAAGGATTGCCGAGTTGGGAGTTACTGGGAAAAGGAAGAGAAAAAAGAACGTACTTTGCTGACCGATGACCCCGGACAAACAAATTAGGCCATCTTCTCGATTCTCGACCACGCCGTCCGCCGAGATGTCCGTGATGCCTCGCAGCCAAGCCGAGTGATTGGAGCGCTGGTGGGCACCCGATCCGAGGACGGTACCGAGGTGGAGGTGCGGTCGTGCTTCGCCATCCCGCACACTGAGGAGGAGGACCAGGTGGAGGTGGACGTCGAGTACCAGAAGAACATGCTGGCCCTGACGCTCAAGGCAAACCCGCGCGAGAGCCTCCTGGGGTGGTACACGACGTCTCTGGAGCTCAACAGCTTCAGCGCGCTGATCCAGAACTTCTTCGACAGCCCGGACACGGGCACCTTCCCCCACCCGGCCATCCACCTGACGGTGTCGACGGACCCTGGGTCCGACATCGAGACGCGCTGCTACATCAGCGCGCCCGTGGCCGTCAACGCGGAGCGCGCCGCCGACAGCTGCTTGTTCGTCCAGGTGCCCCACAAGACGCTGTACGGCGACGCCGAGCGCAGCGCCCTCGACGCTATCTCGTCAGTCCGCGACCAGGAGTCCCGCACCGCGCCCCTCGTCTCCGATATCCAGGCCCTCGGCCGCTCCATCGAGCAGACAATCACCCTGCTCGACTCCGTCTCCGACTGGGTCAACGGCGTCCTCGACGAGGACGAGGAGCCCAACAACGCCCTGGGCCAGTACCTCATGAGCGCCCTCTCACTCGCCCCCAAGGTCGACCCGGAGCAGATCGAGCACGACTTCAACAGCCATATCCAGGACGTCCTCATGGTCAGCTACCTCGCCAACACCATCCGCACCCAGATCGACCTCTCCCAGAGGTTAGCCACCGCCAACCTCGTCCTCAACGACAAGGATGCCGAGGGCAACAACGCCGGCAACAAGACAGCCGAGGGTGGAGACAGTAACAACAACAACAACAACAACAAGTCCGGCGGCCAGCGCAGTGGCGGCGGCAAGCGTGGTGGCCGTGGTGGCGGCAGGGGAGGTGGCCAGAACCGCGAGCCTCGCGAGCCTCGCGAGCCTCGCCAGTCGGCCGAGTAAAAGAGGAGAAGAATTATGACCGCTGTAATCTGTCACTTTTCCCTTTTTTTTTTAAAAAAAAAAAAGAGAAAAAAAGAAAAACAAAAGAAATCTGAATCGACCACACATTGGCTTCATCCGTCTTGCTTCTTTGCTCCCCCCTCCCCACCACCTCTCCCACACCTGGGAGACGTCTACGTTGCCTCAGGATGGGTAACATTGAACCCTTTCAACGACTTTGATACGGAGTAGAAACGATGACGATGACGCCTTGGGCAAAAAGAAAACTGGAAAAAAAAATGATGAATAAAAAAAATGTTCTCCTATACAAAGCTTCTTTAGGCGTTGTGGGAAAAGTCAGTCCTTTTTGATGATTTTTCTTCATTGTTGGCTACAGAGTCTGTGTGTTCTTATTTTGATTTATATATATATAAAACAAGCCAACAAACTTGGAACAAAACAAAATAAAAACAATAGGGGAGGGAAGGAAATCAGATAGATAGTGAGCAAAGAAAGCAAAGAAAAAAAAGAAACCATGTCTCATTATTTTCCATTCCAACTCACTCTTTGGTTATGTATTTGCAAAAAAAAAAAAAAAAAGTCTCTTGCCTTTATTGTAGCTGTCCTTTTCTACCGAATCTGCCCGAAAGAGAGACAAGGGGGGGGGGAAATCGCAGTAACACAGAATGAACTTATCAACCACAGTGCAAGAGAAATAAACCAGGGAAAAAAAGGGAGGGAAAAAGAAAAGCCCTGTTATTGTCCCGTGCCATTAACGCCAAGAAAAAGAAGACGAAGGGAAATGCTAAAACATGCTTTCTCATTGCACGTGTGTACTACCCCGTACGGAACGAGCTGGGATGTGTACATATATCTAGTATCCAGTCGCCGGCTTCTGGGGCAGGGTCGCCGGGTTGCCGTACGTCGGTAGATGAGCAAAGACTGGGGGGCCGGCAGGTCCGACATTCGGTCGGCTCGGCATTGCCTGGCCCGGATTCACGTGTTGGAGGGGCCCGGCTTGCACCGGCGGCGGGACCATGGCCGGGGGCGGGTGTCCGTAGGGAATCGGGGGCGCCATGTGCGGCTGCTGGGCGGGGTGGTATCCCGGAATGGACGTGTTGGAAGCCTGCCGCATCATGCCATGCCCGCCGTACGGCTGGGGCGGCATCACCTGCTGCTGGTAGCCCGGGTACGCGACCGGGGCAGCGCCGATCTGGGGGCTGCCGTGGTGGGAGGCAGGCGCGGCGAAGGGCGGCGGTCCACCCGGCGGCACGCAGGCCATGTCGTTACTCCCGGGCACAAACGACTGCGTCTTAGGGTTGAAGTTGTGGTTCCGATTGTAGCTTCCAGGGATCGGGTGCTGGCTCTTCGGGTCGTGCGGGTTCGAATTCGCCGGCAGCTGCCCGAATGCGTACGGGATGCCCGGGTGCAAGGGGTGGCTCGACGGGGACGCCCCTCGGCCCTGATAGGTGGGCGAGCCGTAGCCAGGCTGCCAGTTCTGAGGCTGTTGGGGGGTTCCAGGTGTTGGGGAGCCGTAAGAGGTCATCGGGCTACCACCGGGCGGCGGGTACCGCTGCGGCGGAGGTTGCGGGTGGTACTGCAAGGCCAGGATGTCAGAACTGATCGTCATGCACGGGTGCCGACGAGGAGAGGGTAAGGCCGCTCACCTGAGGTGCCGCATAGGCAGGGTAGACCGGACTAGGTGCAGCGCCAGGTGCACCGGTATATCCCGCGTTTTGCGATGCGTACATAGGTGCCATCTGGGCGCCGTATGCTGGTGCCGGTTGAACGGCCCCCTGGCCCGCAGGGGTGGGAGCATATCGGGGCACCCACGTCTGCTGCTGAGGACCCCAGTAAGGTGCGTATTGATGGCGGGAATCGAACCCGTCAGAGTCATCACGCCGGTGCCGGCCGGCCCTTCGGCCCTTTCCGGCCGCGGACAGGTTCCCGGACACTGAGCTGGTCCTCGACATTGCGTTGCTCTTTTCGCTGTCTGCAGTAAGAAGAGGGATCAGCTAGGCGAACTGGGCATCTGTTCTCTGCTGTTTGGGACCTACCGTTGCCATTGTCTTCTGCGTTACCAAAGATGCGCTCCCGAGCTAGCTTGTATATCTCCTCACGTTCCTCGCGCGTGCGCCTGTGCCCGGTTAGCATGCAACGGCCGACAGATCGGGTTTTTTTCTTCTTTTTTTCTTTTCTTCGTCATGCCGAAGAGAGACCTACCTGGCGTTGCCCTGCGGCTTTTCCTTGTTGTCCTTGTCGTCACTCTCTGCTTCAGAAGTAGGCTTCGAGGGGGTGCCGCTGGCGGCACTGGCATCACCGCCCTGCCCGCGCCGCATAATCATCTTGGGCTGGATGGCCGGCGGTGGGGTGCTGGTGCTTGAAGGGTTTGGAGCCGGGTCCCAGTGGACCAGCGAGGTCGGGACCCTGCAGAAGGGTGTCCGGAAGATGCGCACGACCCCGATGTTGGGTTCAAAAGAGTGCGTCATGTGGTAGTAATCTGCCAGCTTGTGGGCCAGCATCCTGCAGAATGAGTTGGAAGGGGGGAGATCCATGAATGGTTCCCTGCCTAAGGGTCAGCTCTAGATCGAGCATGTAGAGAGAAGGAGATGAACGGCATGACTTACTTCGAGTTTTGCACGAACTCCACCACGTCCTTCTCCAGCCTCAAAAGATACATTCTGTCCTTGGGCGTCCCCATGGCTTCAACAAGCTTCTCGTCGGGGGCATGTCGGTATATGACGTTGAGAGTGTCCGAAGAGGTCTCCGCAGTAGCGACCTGCTGCTCCGACTCGGTGCTCTGAGGGGCAAGGATGTCCTGGCCAGAGCTCCCCGGCGTGGCCTGCATCAGTCGACGGTCCGTAGCATCGGCAAGCTGGGCACCCCTGTTCCGTGCAGCCAGGTCCGAGCTCACTCTAGAACCAGCCATCATGGATCCGCGCACCGAGATGGAGTCGTCGTCTTCGGCAGCTGCTTTAACACTGGCGCTGTCGTCCGGCCGCAGGGACTCCTTCTCGTCGAGTGCGAACGTCGCTCCAGATGTGATGCTCTTGCCGTCGAGGCTGGGCGGCTTTGTCCCTAGTTCCGAGCTAGAGTCTGCTCGCTGGGATTCGTCAGAGGCTATGCTCTGGCGGCTCATCGCCTGAGGCCTTTCGATATGTAGGCTGGGACCGTCGGCGCCGGGGACGCCATCCGCAGGCTTGGGCTGGATGCTAAGGCCGCCGAGCTTCTCGGAGACTCTATCGACAGCGGGGCTGCCCCTCGAAGATGCTGTGGATGAGTTCTGTGCCTGCGCAAGCCTTGGGCCACCGCCGTTAGCGATGACCGGGCCTCCCAACGAGGGTCGCGGCCTCGCACTCGACTGGTTTGCCTTCGGCGACGGAGGAGCCGCGGGCTTTTCGGCAGAGACCGAGGCGGCCACCTGGTTGAGAAGATAGAGTTAGCCTGCTTCACAGCGGGGGTAAGCCGTGTGGTCGGGACGTCAGTACCTTGGCGAACGACGGTCTGTCTGAAGACATCTGTGCAACTCGTAACTGTATGCAGCTACAAGGAATAGTTTTCAGGCTGGTAGGAGTGAAGTATACTGGATCACAAGTAACCGGTCAAGGCGAGAATATCAAATCGTTCGTAGTCGGGCCAGAACCAGATGGACGGTTTTACTGGCAATTGGAGCACTCGGCATCGGACTCGGGAAGTGACGAACAATGCGGGGCAGGTTAAGAAGCAGAATCGAACAATGCGGGCCAACAGAGCGAAGACGGAGTGCTGGTGTTCATCGTCGTTGTGGGCAGTTACTCATGTTCCAGGTCAAGACGTGGCCTATGTTCACCTCGAGGTCCCGACGGTTCGAGTCGTGGTTCGCCGAGCGTCGAGCCGAGCACTAAGGGGAGCATAGAAAATCGTCAGGATCACTCGAGAGGCGAGCATGTGCAGATACCTGATAGACAGGCGGAGGTAGGACAGGACAGAGCAGAGCGTAAAGGGTACTCTGGCGGGATCGTTTTTGGATGGGATTTGTGCACTTTGGGCGCCGAAGGGTATAGCAGAAGAGGAAAAAGGTGTGTGGACTCACAGATCGAAGGGCGGTGATGATCTGCCAACCAAGGATAACCTGCAAGGGGGGTTGTAGACGCAGGTAGGCGGCGCAGGAACAAAGTCAATGAGAGGTGACAAAACCCCAAGATGCGACGATGGAGACAGCTGTTGGTGGCGGTGGTGATGGTGGTGCTCCCAGTAAATAGGCAATGGTGGGGAGCAGGGTGCGAGACTTTGAGGCGCCTAGGACTAGGAACGACAATGTGCCATCGAACAAGGACCTCGCTCGGTGTGACGGGCAATAAAAAGCCGAGGACTGGTGATGGGAACCAGACGTCTGCCGTGGGAGGCGGGAGAGATTGAAGAATAAGAAAAAAAAAACAGACCAGTAGGAGACGAGATGTCGATATCTTGATCGAATCTTCTTCACTCACGGTCCGCAGTTGGTGCACAAAAGTGAAATCTAGCACGGGAACCGAGTAGCGCCGGTAGAATGCTGACTGAGTGCGAGAGCTGATGGGATTTGTTGGCCCACCAGTTGTTGGCCCACGGGTTGGTCTACGGGCTGGCCTTCACTCGTGCTTAAACCTGGTGGGTACCGTTAGCATGATGCGTACTGTGATGATCAGCCTCCACAGACCCTAGAGAAGCCCTGCAAGACGCCTAATTCTTCCTCGCACGAGTGCCTACTGACGGCTCTTGTGGCAGTCTGTACAGTGCGGATTGTTATGTAATCACCGTTGCAGAGGGGCACCGGAATTGTGTTCTCTTCCTCTCTGACAGCTCCCTGACAAAGGCTGACTGGGTGCTGATATATTTTGATATTAGGCTGGGAAGGAATGATGGCAGCTTGTCACTGCGAAGGCGATAATACTCTCGGTGTCGCTATTTGGTATCCTGTCGTCGTCTGGGCTCCCTCTTTTGAATGCATGTGCGCGGTACCCGGCTCATAGGCCTAATTGAATCACGTGTTTTTTCCCATTTTTTTAGAGGTGTGTGTGTGGGGGGGGGGGGGGGGGAGGATGGGACAGAGACTATACGAGCACGGCATAACGGCCGTAATATCCCCGTTACGTAGGTAGATCTCAATGGGAGCTCATCACCAACTCTCATCCTTGAGCACCTGAGTCTTAGCCGGCTCATCGAATCGAGCCTGCACCCTCACTCCAGAAGACAGACCGAGAGGCAGCCCTGCCTTTCACGTAGCAATACCCTCTTGGCTCTCATCATCACTGCCCCTGCAAGCATGTTTGGCTTCAGAGGCCGCGGTGGACCTTCAAGAGCCACGCCGGCCAACGTACAATGCCAGAAGTGTCTGAAACGAGATATGTGCATCCTGCCCCTCCCCCGATGAGGCTGTGCCCGCAGAGAACGCCCAGCTGACATTCGCAGGCACGTCACTATTCATACGAATGCAAGGCGTCTTCCCAGGACCGGCCGTATGTGTCGCGGCCGTCTCGCACTCAGCAGATGCGCAACCCGAAGCTCGTGCCTAAGCTCGATAGCGACACTCCTAAGCCTTTGGAAAACAAGTAGGGAATCGCTCTTCTGCCCCATCACCCCGCCATACACGTACAGATTGGGAACCGTGCAGCAAGCATTGGCATCGTTTACTGATAGGAGCTGTCCTCTCTACAGAAAGGGCGTCGCCGACGAAGAGCTCGCCAAGAGGGAGGCCGAGAGGACGAGAAAGCGGGAACTCGAAGAGCGCGGAGATCGCATGGCCCTGTCCGCGTCAAGGCGTCAGAGATCTACCTCTGCGGACTCTGCCTCGAGTACCGACACGCGTTCGGCCTCCTCACGGACAAGGAGCCGATCCCGCTCACCACCGCCTCGCAAGGGGCGTCGTGCTCCGAGTCGCGGACCCGAGAGTGATGGGGAGATCCGCGACGCTCGCTACGGCAGCCGGAGTGTCTCGCCCGCCCCCGCTCCTCCGAGGCGACGGCGTTCGTCCGACTCCAGGGACAGCCGCTCCCCTCCGCCCAAATCCAGACACCACCAGTCTTATCGCAGCAGGGAGCCTGTGTCGCCCATCGACGACGAGTCGGACAGGATGCCGCGGCGCCGGCGCCGGTATTCCATCAACTCTGCAGCATCCAGGGACTCTCGTCCCCGCCACCGCCACCTGTCCAGGTCTCCGGATGCCAATCGGCGCAGTGTTGATCCGCCTGCTAGCAGTCGGGGACGGAGGGATGGCCGACGGCCTGACTCGAGGGCGCAGCAGGAGCCGGCAGCAGAGCCGCGGGAGAGGAGCCTCAGCCCCTTCAGCAAGAGGTTGGCACTGACACGGGGCACAGATCCGGGAAGGGGATAGGGGTTTTTGTAGCTGGGTATCAAGATTGCATGTTTTAAATTAATTCCCAACACCAGATGATGAGCAGAAAATGTCCCGAGAACATACATGTATAAAAAGAACACGGGGGGGGGGGGGGGAAGAAGAATGTGACACAGGAACGGAAAAGAAAAAAAAAAGCACAATCATCATGAGTCCAGTTCCTTCTCTTCTTCCCTCTCTCTCCGCTCCTCCTCCTCCTCCTCCTTCTCCCTCATACGCAGACCCTCAACCAGGGCCACCCCATCCATACCGGTCGACTCCCCGTCCGCCTGGGCCGGCGTGTCTTGCTCGCTCTTCTGCTTGGCCTTTTGGGCCTCCGCGATGCGCTCCCTCACCAGACGCGCGATGGCGTTGTCTGTGCGGACGTTGAGAATCTTCATCTTCTTGTCCAGATCCCTCTTGAGGTCCCAGTTGGGCTTCTTGGGCTGCAGCTTGAACAGGTCGATGCCCTTGTCGTCTTTGGCCTCCTCCTCGGCGCGTCTCCGCGACTCCTCCTCGATCTGGGCCGCCTGCTCCTCGAGTGTAGGCTTGTCGAGCCCTTCGTTGGGCCCAGACTCGAAGCCCAGCTTGGGCCCGCGGGCCTCGACGTCATAGTTACGCCCAGAGATCCGTAGCGGTTGCGGCTGATTCTTCTCGCCTGGGGGAGATGGTGATCGCGTCGATTCCGGAGGGACGGTCTCGTCGGCGGGCTGCTTGCGCTTGAGGTTGCGCAGGCTGGCGAGGCGCGCCTTTCGGTCGTCGGCGACGGCACTCAGGCTCGAGTTGGACGGCATTGCGGACGGGCGACCAGTTGAGACTGTCGTTGTTTGGGCAGAGGGAAGAAAGCGTCGGACACGCGACGATATGACAGAATGTTCGAGGTCGGATGTTCGACTGGACGGAGTTTGGGTGGTGGAGCCAAACCGCAGGGGCGCTAGGCCGCTGAAAAAGGTTGGGTCCAGGCCTAACGAGCCCCCGAGCTCCACTGGGCCTGCTCTACGTACCGGTTCGCGGCAAAATCTCGACATCAAACTTGCCTTCATCTCCTTCGTCTCTTGGTCTCTCTTGCCCACCCCTCTGTCTTGCTACATCCGCCGTCGACGATATGACGCACCCTTGAATTCGGCGGTCGACAGATCCAGAAAGAATCGATGAGGGCATCTTTCGTCTGCCGGTCTTGCCACCGGCGGCTTCAGTCTGCCCCCGCGAGGCCAGCTGGCCTCCCCTTGAATCGTACCGGGGGGTTGGCCCAGCTTGTTGCCGGCCACCGCAGCATCGCCACCACCGCAACGCCTGGCGACCACAACAATACCCGAGCCCCTCCCTTTTCCTTACGCAACGGTTCCGATGTCTCGCCCCCGACCTCGCAGTCGGCCGAGGAGCAGCCTGCAGACCTGGCCCAGCTCGCTGCTGGAAGCCAGGTCATGAAGGCGCTGACCCAGGGCGCCGCCATACGTGGTCCCAGACAGCCTGGGATGCCGAGAGCCAATGCGAAGGCATCGAGACGGTCGAAGACGTCCCCGAAGCCAGCAGACGAAGACACGAGTGATTCTCGCAGCAAGCCATCCGTCAAGAAGAAAGAAGCAGAGGCATTTCGAGCAAGGGTTGAGGCGCAGAGAAAGGCACGGTACTTCCAATGGGGCAAGATCCGACATCTGTACCCCGAGTCAGAGCTCCGCGAGGTCAAGAAAGTATTCAACTCCTGGAAGAGCCTGATAGCGCAGCTTGAGCTGAACAGGAGCCTCGACGACAAGCCGTGGATCGAAGACGGAAAATGGCTCTACTCGTTGAAGACGTCCCGAGAGATGCGTGGGGCCTGGGAGAAGCTCAGTGTCGAGGAGAGGCAGACGGTGTGGCAACGCGTCATGATCTCGACGTTGGATCGTCACCCTCAGGCGGCCGCCCGTGTGTTGGGTGCCACTCTGGACCCTCTGCCTCCGGGGTACGCCATCTCAGACGTTCTCAACCTCATCGCCAAGGGAATGAAGAAGAACCGGAAGGAGTCGGGATTGCAGGACCGGGTATTCGCCGTCCTGCTCCGGATCCTCAACGACCTGCCTCCCGGTCACATCCCGTTTTACCAGAGGACTTGGGGCCTCTTTGCCCAAAGCTTGACGGCCGACCAGGCAGCACGCATCCATGAGGTCCTCAAGCAGTCTAATGCCATGCTGCACCCCAACACGTCACTCCAATTCGCACGTAAACTCGCAGGAGGGGCTACGGCCATCAAGCACAAGGGCGCGGCCCTCGAGATCATGACAGAGCTGGCCGACGGGGGGATGGACCTCAACCAGCCACAGCCCGCGAGCGTCATCACGTCGCTGCTGCACGTCGAGGCTTCCCGGCAGCCACCCGCCGAAGGGGTAGAGGACTTCTCCCCCACGAGGGCGCTCCAGACGTTCATGGAGAAGGGCTTCCTGCCCAACGTTGTGACGTTCACAGCATACATGGACTCCCTCAGCCAGCGCAGGGAGGTGGCCGAGGTGGTCCGTCTCGCCCAGCTCTTCACCAGCAGCGGCCTGAAGCTGGACACCAAAGCGTACGCCACCATCTTCCGAGGCACCAAGCACAGCTTCAACGCCGAGCACGCCAGAGACGTGCTCGGCATGTCTCGGGGCACCAAGGTGCCGATGGTCGACGTGCTGAACAATGCGCTCCACGCCATCTTCTCCTTTTCCGAGGTGGAGATGCGCGAGAAGAATATGACGCCATCCGAGGAGCTGAAGCCCTTCCTGCCCATGCTCCAGATCTACGCCAAGAAGTTCGACATGGCGCCCCTACAGTCACTGATCCCCGACTCGCTGCCCCTGCTCCTCATGCGCCAAAGCCAGTCCGAGACCCCGTCCGACGAAGCGGCCGGTGCCGACGGCAACCGCGGCGACTGGTCCACCGGGAGGACCATACTGCCTGTGGTGGACGACTTCGCGGCCACGACGGGACCGGAGCGCCTGCAACCCAACTCGACGACGCTGTCGACGATGCTACGGGCCTATATCCGCAGTCTGTGGCGGCCGTACGACCTCATGTCGCTTTACGCCTACTTCAAGTCGCGTCTGACGGAGCGTGAGCACCCAGAGTCTGGGGACAAGAACTACGCGGCGCAGATCGTGCGCGACCAGCGCAGTCTGATCCATGACACACTCATCCTGGCCATGATGCAACAGCCCGGCCTGACACGCCCTGCCCTCGACATCTTCGGCGACATGCTCAAGGACAACCTCGGCGGCAACGCGGCGTCGGACGGGGAAGGCGACGACGTCTCAGAGGCAGTGACAGCGACCCCGCCAGCGATCCCGCCAGCGATCCATCCCGTCCCCACCATCTTCACGTTCTGCGTCCTGATCAACGGCCTCATGAGGAGGGGCGAGACGGACCTCGCCGAGCAGGTCATCCAGATCATGAAGGAGAATGGCATCGACACAAACGTCGTGACGTGGAACACGCAGATCAAGTGGTACGCCATCATGCAGAACGTGCCGCGGACGGTGGGCGCCCTGCAGGGTCTCGAGGCCGCGGGCTTCAAGCCCGACGGATACACGTTTGCGGGCTTTGGGAAACTGCGGGATCAGAAGAGGGCGCTGCAGATGATGGAGAAGATTATCGACCTCAACAAGCAAAAGGTCGACAGCCGCGGTCCTGCCGACGGCAGCGAGTACTGGTAGTAGGGGTAATAGTACCAAGGTGACTATTGATGGTGTGTGCAAGAGCATGTATGTGCGTGACGGTAAAGTAAAATATAGTTGGAGATGGTGTTTTCATGAACGAGTCATCTTTTTGTTCTTCCTAATGAACCATGCTGGTTATATCTGTCGATATCTCTATTGATCTTTATGAGCTTCTCTCTATGGAATAGCTTGTTTGACGATGCCGAGACTAGACTGGATATGATTTGTCTTCTTTTTTTCTCTTTCTTTTCCCTCTCTTTCGCCTCTTGTACTCTCGCCCGTCTCTTATATATCTCAAACTAAATCATCTCTCTCTCTCTCTCTCTCCCTTACGTTGAAGCCCGGGACGGAGGAGGGAGGGAGTGAATGTCAATCTGAGCGTGTACATACATAAATACATACTAAATACATACATACATACATACATACATACATACATACATACATATATATATATATATATATTCATATATACTGATCTATGCCAAACCAGAGTCTCGGTTTTTTCCCCCCTTGGGTCATGACAACAACAACAACAACAAGACCAGCAGTAACCAACCATCATATCAAGATATGCTCAAGACTGTGGCATCCGTCACGACCTACAGGCAGAGCAGAATAAGATGGAAGTAAGGCATCATGTAAGAATATGCCTCGTCCAGACGATTCAACGTTGGACGTCATGCGTCTGTCCCAACTGACCGGCCTACTAACAAGGCCATGTCTACGCGTGGATTCGGGGATCGACGCCCTCTGCCTGCGCGCTGCTACAAGGGGACGGGGCCACGCGGTGATGTGAGCCAGGTCATATTTACTTCCAAGGAGATCTGATCATCCCCCCCCCCCCCCCCTCTCCTCTCTTGTTTTTGTTTACATAAAGGAGAGGGGGGATTCATCAAAGATCTCTCGCGTTTGTTTGTTTATCTGTCTTCCTTCTTTGTTTGTTGATTCTTGTTGCTACGGTCTGCATATGTGGTCTCACCTCTTCGGTCTCTCAACACGGCCGCAGGGCCCCCCGACTGTCGAGGCCAGGTGTTGTGCATGTTTTTGTTTACCGTGATACATATCTGTCCACGATACTACTGTATGGTGGTGATGTCTCATCTCCCATCAATAATAGCATCAGTCCTCTCAAGTTTCCATGATCAGAACGAACGAACTGAACACGTGAAGAAGTGAGATATACTTTGACTGTGAGATGCAAGTGGGATTCCATATTCGTGTATATACAGAATAGATTATATATATGAATATATACACATATATATAATGTATCGTCCGGACCCCTTTTTATTCCTTCAATGTCGTCATAGCTACCAGAGCTCTCATCACGCTTTCAACAATTAGAAAGAAACAGTGACATGGGAAAAAACAGTAACAAGAGAGAACAAGAAGAAAGAAAATAACAAGTTGCTTTTTGTCAGATCCCCTCTTTTCCTTTCCGGGTTCAAATAAGAGACAGCAAGGCCCATCAACACAACCACATGGGCCTAAGATCCAACGCGACCCAGAACAAGGGCCATGTGCATACACGAAACAAGACAAGACAAAAAAACTCGTATATACTGGGCGGAGGCAAACCAAAAGAAATGAGAAAAAGAAAAGAAAGAAAGAACAAAGCAGGTCCTTGTATATAAGCATCGTCATCGTCATTCATCGTACTACGTGGTACTCCTCTGCATCCAAAAAGATGCGGGGGGGGGGGGGGGGTTGCCTGGTCATGGTCAAAAAGAGAAAAAAAAGAAGAAGAACGATAGCCAGAGAGGTCAAGCAGCTCCCAATATTTGTCGCCAATAGCATTAAACGGAAACCCCTCTCGGAGCCTCTCGGCTAGCTTCTGCTCACTCGTGGAAGATAAACAAGATAACAAAGGGAGATTCGGGGCCTTTCCACTTCCAACGGGGAGCCGTTTTCAGGACGCGATGCCACGTAGAACACGTGCCGGGTTGCCGGCTACGACGGTAAAGGGTGGAACATCCTGCAGAAGTGGTCAGCATTTGGGTCAAGACAAGGGTGGAGCAGAGGCAGGGTAGAAGGCGAGGAGAGGGAGAGGTCATACCTTGGTCACGATGGACCCCGCGGCAACGGTACTTCCCTTGCCGATGGTCCTTCCGGCCAGGATCATGGCACCACCCGCGATCCAGCAATTCTCCTCAATGACGATGGGCTTGGCCGACTGGGGGCCCTGTCCGCCCTGGCGCCTCTTGGGGTCGATGGGCAGCGTCGAGGTGAAGATGCTGACGTTGGGGCCGATGACGCAGTTGTCGCCGATGCGCACCTCGCAGACGTCGCTGATGGTGCAGTTGCGGGCGATGGCGACGTTGTTGCCGATGATGAGGTTGTAACCGTAGTCGCAGGTGAAGGGCGTCTCGACCGTCACCTGGCCGCCGACGCGCCCAAAGTTGAGGACGGGCGACGACTCGCCGGGCGACATGCGAATCGGGTCGCGCGGCCTGAGGATCTCGAGGAACAGCCGGGCGCGCTCCTCGGGTGAGACGCCGTTGGGCGGCGTCGTGATGTTGTTGAAGCGCCAGCAGGCGGCGGCGCACCGCTCGCGCTCCAGGCACAGCTCCTTGTCAAAGGGGTAGTAGAGCCGGCCGGAGAGCATCTCCTCCTTCTGCGTCCGCTTGTGCGGCTGGTAGGCCGAGTGCGCCAAGCCGAGCTGGGGAACTACCTGGGGGTTCGGGGCCGATGTCTTGGGGTGGCCCGGGGCCACAGGGCTCGTGGTGCGCGTGGTCGGATGCAGGAGTCCCAGGTGAGGCAGATGACCTCCCTGATGAGGCGTCCCGGGATGGGGCGTCTCGGGCTCCTGCCTGCTCAGGTCGTGCAGCGGAGGCACTCGTTGATAGTCCTTTGCCATCCTGTCACTGAATGAAGGTGTCTGGGTATTTGCGCTGATGGGCGTAGGAAATGCGTTTGCCGGTGTGTAGGTCATGGCCGACAGCCTATTATCTGGACTCGTGGTGGACGCGCTCGGCATTGTTGACGCTGTTGGTCGGTCGTCGTCGGTCACGACGGGCCGGCCCTGGGGCGGGTCGATCCTAAGCACCTGGCCCCGGTAATGTGGAAGCGGTTCACGGTCCCTCTTGGCCGGCTGCGGTTGGCCACCAGCATGCAGGCCTGGATGGGGCATGCCGTACGCGCCAGGCGGCACATAACTCGGGTCCTTGGACTCCAGGTGCACCGTAGGAGACTTGTTCTCGGGCTTCTGCCAACCCGTCCCCCTGTAGGACGAGTAGCCGGTGCAGACGAAGCCACCCTTGAGACAGTTTTGACCTGTGGAAAGCAGTCTCAGTATCGAAGCCGTGAGGGATGAGCTGAACGAGAGGGAATCGACAGGTAACGAAACCAAAGTTTCAAGTCCCCCCGGTCAGTAGAAGAAGAAGGAAACTCACACTCTGGTTTTGTCTCGTCGCACTTCTTCTTGCGTTTGCGGCATGTCATGCACCCAGTCTTGGTCCTGTTGCTGAAGTTGCGCTTTCGCTTCTTGGGGTCGTGCTGCAGGACAGAGCTTGACCTGTTTTCCGACGAGTAGGGCGCTGCTCCGTAGTACGAGACGGATGTGTCTTCCGGGTCTGGACTCGAGTTTCCGTCATCGACGTGGTCGGTCCGCGACGTAGGCCTCGACGTCCCCTCCCCAGGACGGCCCTCCGCTTCATTTCGCAGTGAGGTAGCGGAGCCGCGGCGCGAGTGGTAAGGTGACCTGTCGTCGGGTTCGCGTGAAGAGTGCCAGCGGTCCCTCTCTCGACTCCTGAGCGGAGAGCGAGGCTGCTGGGGTTCGCCCTTGAGTACGGTGCGTGCTTCGTCGCGGGGATCGCCGTATGGCTGAGGCGGCGGCGGCGGCGGCGGAGGCAGCGGTTCGGTCGCTGTATCTGGTGTGCGCTCCTGGGCAACGGGGTGCTTCACGGCCTCGGCGGATCCTGAGCGTTTCCTCTTGAGAGATGGATCTGCTAGGCCCGAGTGGTCACCAGTCTGTATCGTTGGGCGCTCGACGCTCTCCCGACGGCTGGCCGGACCCCCAGCCTGCTGGGGCGGTGCCTGGGATGGCGAAGCCGTCCTTCCTGGCTCTCCTGCTGCAGAGCTGTCCACCTTGATGACCGGAGTGTCGGAGCTGGTCGGGAAGCCCCCGTTGAGGGCCGTGAAGGCCGACATTGTACCCCGCTCCGAGGCGATGCAGTGAGATGCGGGACGTCTGTTGGCAGACGATGCAGGCTTGGCGCGGACCTTCCAGTGCTGTTCCGACTAGAGCCCAGGTGAAGAGTTGCAGGCGTAAGAAAATATCCGGAAAGGCTGTCTAGTGCAGAACGCTTCTACTTCGCCTCTTCCTTCTTCCCCCCTCTTGAACTCTCCCCCTTTGCTACCGGGTCGCGAGCTGATGGCGAGCCGACAGACACAGATACCGGCGCTGTTATCGTGGACTGGAGAAATAGCGGGTTGGGTCAGACACGGCATGGACTGACGACCATGACCATCCGTCGAAAAGCAAGGGCGTGATTAGCGGTGGTGAGAAACCACAGCTGAGGCAGCCGCAGCGGGAGGATGTCTGAAGACGAAGTCTGGGTTGAGGCGATGGCCTGTACCCTCCGAACTGTGGCGAGAGCGCCGAGGGAGTGGTGGCGATGAGATGCTAAGGCCTGGACTGTCGAAACTCCAGCAAATTGCAGAGGCGTCGTGAGAGATGGACCGAGCTACCAGACTCGAGTGTGAGAAGAGCAGTCGGAGAGAGCAGAGCGCTGGTACGGACACAATGGCAGCAGACACGTGGAGAGATGCGCACACAAACACGTACAAGCACAGGGCACGTGCAGATGCTGGGTGAATGGAAGTGAGATGAGTGCGGGTGAGTGCTGGTGTGAATGCTGGCGGAGAGGATAAAGAAGAAGGAGAAGGGGAAGGAGCAACAAGGTGGCGCTTCAAGATTGGAGGATTGACGCGCGATTATGAATGGGTGGCGGATGCGTCTGCTGCGGCTGGAATAGAATAGCGGATGTGCCGAGGCCGAAGAGACGGGAGCCGTTTTCTGAGGCCGGCGGAGAGGGCCTCGTCGTGTGCGAGAGAGATTGCGTCGTATTTGTCCTGGAGGGGGGGG